AAAGCAGAAGAAGGAAGAAGTGGAAAGAAGCAGCCCAGCCAGGTCCGTGGCGCGAGTAGGGCAAGTTCTCCCCTCCGCCCTTTTCCCCCTCCCCTCACTCCCTCGTGTTGTTCTCAGTGCAAGCGATGCAAGCCTTGTGTTTCCACAGGCCATGTGGGAGGTGCAGCCTTGTGTTCCCGCGTAGCCTGGATTAATTGCTTTGGGGGTGACATTTCTCTGCGGACCAGCAACATTTTCTCATGGACCACCAGTGGTCCCCGGCCCACTGGTTGGCAACCACTGCCCTAGCTTGACCAGATATGACCAAATCATATGTTCAGAATTCAGGCACTTGGCAGCTGACTCATATTTACGACAGTTGCGGTGTCCCAGGAGCACATGATTCCTTTTTGTGACCGTCTGATAAGCGAAGTCAATGGGGAGGCCAGATTTGTTTAACAGCTGTGTGACTAACTTAACAATTGCAGGGATTTACTTGAACTACTGTGGCAAGCAATGGGTTAAAACTCAGTTAACAATTGTCTCACTTAGCAAAAATGTGGGAGTTCAGTTGTGGCCATCAGTTGAGAACTGTCTGTACTCAATCTTTACTCTCTGCTCTGTGTGGCCCACTTATTATTATTATCTTTATTGTCAGAGTATAACTTGTCTACAATGCCATTGGCTGAGCCTCCATTCTTCTCACCTGGAAGGTGAAGTTTTCATTAAGTAGCCTGTTTTTCTCAGGTAATCATCATCTAAAGTACGAATGGTGGACGCTGAAAAAAACCCTATTTCCTTTTTCCTCGTGCTATCCTGGATAGTGTTAACCATGACATGATGAGCTGGAGTGCGTGTAATTAAGAAGAAGAGTTGCTCCTAAAAAATTTGGATTTTTAGTTACGTCCAACAAACTAAAAGTGTGTAGAGATTCTCAGTCCTGCAGGTCATGGTTGACCCAAAGGAGGCAACTGGACTTTCTTGTTTTTTCTTTTGAGGACGTTTTGCTTCTCATCCCAGAAGCTTCTTCAGCTCTGACTGGATGGTGGGAAAATGGAAGGATTTATATTCCTTGCAGACAGCTGGTCATTTGCATCCTTTGAGAAGGTCGTTGAGGCCACCTGGAGGTTGATCTTTGTCCTCAGGGTCACCTGAGTAGTGCAAATCCTTCCTGTAGCCTGCAATTTTTCCTTTGGAAATCCATTCCTACTCCCACATTTCCAGAGGAGAATGGATTTTGCAGTGGAAAAAAATGGCAGACTACAGGAAGGATTTGCACCACTCAGGTGACCCTGAGGACACCGAGAAACCTCCAAGTGGCCTCAAGGACCCTCAAAAAGGATACAAATGACCAGCTGTCTGCAAGGAATATAAATCCTTCCCTTTCCCCCTGTCCTGTCACAGCTGAAGAAGCTTATTAGATGAGAAGTGAAACATGTTCAAAGGGGAAAAAAACCAAAGAAATCCAGTTTCCTCTTCAAAAAGCACCTTTGCGACCTCCATCCAACTAGTTTGTCTCCAGCTAACATTCCATGGATGAAAAGTTAAGTAGGGTGAGGACCATGGCAACGAGCGTTTCTACTTTTAGTTTACTTCATCATCACGGTGAAGGACGTAATGTTCTTCAGAGATCTTCCAACTTATTTATGGAGTGCCATTAAACCTCCGCCCCCCCGTGCCAATAAAAGGCTGGCAAAGGATTCCTCATTCCATTCCTTTGATTCTATTGCGTTTGTTTTCAGGAATGACAACTAGAAGGGAGGATTGGGTGGAAGAACCGAGCAGATGATTCGTCCTGTCCATCTTCTCAAAAAGGCCCCGTGTTCGCATGGAAGGCAGAAGAAAGCATCCGCCATTTTGAAGACCGGCTACGGAAACACTCTGGGTTGTGACACCCTTTTTGGAGAAAGATGGAGGCCTTCCCTTCTGTGGTTTTCCTCTCAAGCCAATCTCATGTTACTATCTGAGTCCTAGGGAGAAACTTCTCCCGCTAGTCCTAAGAAAGACAATCCCTGTTGTAAATGACATTACTAGTGCCAAAGAGCTGGTTGAGTTTCTGTAGCGTCTCCTCAAATGCAGAGATTACAGTCCTTACATTCTGTAAATTACAGTGAATGGTGCGGTGGCCTAGAGGTGACGCTCTCACTTCACAATCAGGTGGTTGTGAGTTCGATCCTAGGTAGAGGCAGATATTTCTCTCCCTCTGGGCACAGTGAGAATATATCTGCTGAACAAAATTCCGCATTGGTGACAGGAAAGGCATCTGGCCAGTAAATACTCTGCCAGCTCCATTCAGTTTGTCCAGACTCTGCCCTGAAAAGGATTATGGGATCGTTAAAAGAAGATGATGGTTCTGTACATTTCGGTGGTCAGCAATATAAATCAGGGATCTATTGAGATGGGGAAGAAATCATTGGTTGCTTTTGGTGGGGAGCACGTTTAAAATGAGCCGGTGTCTGTAGAGGAGAAGGGTGGCAAGGCCCGTTTAAAGTAATGGCTGCAGGACTGAGTCAGGACTGACAGGCATTTCTGTCAATAAATACAGTTCTATGTACCTGAAAATGGCAGCACTAAAATCATCAAGAAGCAGCCCATGCGCCAGGCGTGAAGGACCAGATCCCCGTATGAAGGTCCAATCAAATTGATTTATTGCTAAATGCACAGGAATCTTACTTAGCCTGCTTGGAGTTAGATCAGGATCGATGGAATTCAAGGGAGGTTGGATTTAATCCGCTTGTGGCTACGTAGAGATTCTAGGCTGATTCCTTTTTTGACGCCCCTCTCCGTGCTATTGTTCCACACATTTTTTCTTTCCTTCACTTTTACTGAATTTTGGTTATTTAAAAAAGCCAGATTTTCTGGGTGAAAAATAGTGACAAACAGCGGAGACCGTTACGAGGGATGGTTTCTTTCCACATTTTTTTTTAAAAAACCCATGCCATTTAACCTGATTAATTAAAATGTATCTTATCAAAAGAAAGGAAGGTTCAATAGCCTGAATAGCATCAATGAGCAGAATATTCCAGAAAGGTTGATAATGTCACATTTTGAATTTCAGAAATGTTCAAGGCCATGTAATGCAAAGGCATTTGAATACTATGTTGTATATTTCACTTCAAATTGAAGTAAAACAAAAATGGAGAAATTCACTTGGAGTACGCAAATTTTATAAATAATGTATGTCGTATGTGAGACATATGCTTGTAATGAAGACTATAATTCGATGTTACGGTAAAATAATGCAGACTTTTGAGGAAAAGAATACTGTATTTTAGGCAAAGGGCAATGTGTAATGCCTATACATTGCAGCTAAATTTAACCTTCTGTTATTTCAGGATAAATTATTCGCATTTTGTTTTTGCGAATGAAATTGAGATGGCTAGATATTGTTGCAGCAATCTTACTAGCATATAACTCTTCACATTTGGAGCAGCAAGCTCTTCCACTTTTGAATTTTAGTCCTAAAAATAGGTTGTGGATAAAATGAATAGGAGGGGACGGGAGAGGAGAGGAGAAGGGAAAAGAACAAAGAGAAGAGAAATAATAATGGGAGGAGAGAAAAAAGAGAAGAGAAGAATAGAATGGAATGGAATAGGGAGGGGAGAGGAGGAGAGAGAAGAGAAGAGAAGAGAAGAGAAGAGAAGAGAAGAGAAGAGAAG